AAGAAGGAAATATTCCTGTAATCCCAGTGTCTTGGGAGGCTGAAGCAAGAGGATTGCAAGTTTGAGGTCAGCCTCAGCAATTTAGCAAGGCCCTAAGCAACTTGGAAAGACCCTGTCTCAAAATAAAACATTCTAAGGGTTGGGGATGTGGCTCAGTGGGTAAGCACCCCTCAGTTCAATCCCTTCCTCCAAAAAAAAAAAAAAAAAGAAGAAGAAGGAAATATCCTTTGAAGTTCAAGGCCAGCCTCAGCAATTTAGTGAGGCCCTGTCTCTACATATAAAAATATGACAAAGGCATAGAGATGTGGCTGAGCGGTTAAGTGCCCCTGGGTTCAATCCCTGGTACCAAACAACAACAACCACAACAAATCCTAAATATAATATTGGCAAACAAAATCCAGCATCATATTAAAAAAAGAAATTAGTATCACTAAGTGCAGTTTATACTAAGAATGCAAGGATAGTTCAGTGTGCAAGAATTTATTACTACAGTACATGGCATGAATACAGGAAAAAAATAAAATAAGCCCATCTCTGCAGATCATGCAACAGCATTCAATAAAAGGCAACAGCTATCCTTAAAGCTTCTTCAAAAACACCCATTATGACCTGGGTATTATCTCATCTAACAAGCCATAAAATTGGACATGCATAGCATTTTTCCACTAAAAAATAGAGGTGGAAGGTATAAGACCAGGCCCAAACACATTTGGAAAGCAAGAGAAAACTGCACTAGCAGGTGGCCAGACTCTTGTGGCACCAGCTCTTGTTGCTGCTCTACCCACTCCCTAGGATCTATGGACAGAGAAATTTGGAAAAGACCTGGCCCGGCTTCCCTAACAGGTCTGCACCGTGCGCTGGCCAGTCCCTGACAAATTAGCCAGTGCCCGTGAGGCAGTGTGGCTCAGCCCCCTGGCCAAACTTATACCCAACAAAATGAACTACTCAATGGGTCACAGGAACTTCTGCCTCCTGGGAGGAGTCTCCTTTCTCACCCTTTTCTGGGCCAGTTCTGAGAAGGTCTGTAGTATAATAAGCAGCATGCTGCCCGGTTCATGAGTCTCCAATAAAAGTCAACTGGATATGGAATATTTCAGTTTGCTGAATGCTTGTTCTTTGGCAAGTGCCTGTAAGTCAGGTAAAGCCCCTGTTTTCCTGCTCTTGTCCCCAGATCTACTGATGGCCTCAGGGAGGATCATGTGTCTGAGGATTTCCCTGTCTCTTTCCAGGCCTGTCCTCTGAGGTCCTATTTGTTCCCAGGTACTCGATGGGGCCTGTTTGGTTGGAAAAGCTTTTGTAACAATGGTCAGAATTTCACTGACCAGAAGGTCAGGGACGGGCAGGGTCACCAACCATCCTGGTTTGCCCAGGGCTTTCCGGTTTTAGTGCTGAAAACCCCAACTCCCAGGAATCCCTGAGTCCCAGGCAAAGTAGGACAGTTGGTCATCCTATATCCTGCATCAGATTGGGGACAGTCAGGTGATTCATCGACCTTTTGCCACACTTAGCTGTCCAAAGGTTATTTCTGGGAAATCTGGCTGAATGCATTGGAAAGGACACCCCTCCCCTCCCCACTACATTTAACCCCCTAAATTCTGGGCCCTACTCCAGACCTACTATATCTGAATCTTGTTAAAGCAAAATGCAGGGGGCCAGGGCTGGGGCTCAGTGGTAGGGCGTTTGCCTAGCATGTGTAAAGCACTGTTCGATCCCCAGGACCATGTTTAAAAAATAAAAACAAATAAAATAAAGGCATTGTGTCCATCTACAATTAAAAAAATAAAATAAATTGCAAAGGCATGTCAAAGTTTGAGAAGTACTATCTCACAGTTGTTCTCAAACCTGGCTGCCCCGTGGAACCACCTGGGGAATTTTTAAAATACTGATGCCTGGGTCTCACCTGTAATGACTGTGATCTTCTTGGACTGGGGTGCAGCTTATGTATCTGGGTTTTGTTTTTGTTTGTTTTTTTTTTTAACTCCCTAAGTGATTCAAATGTGCAACTAAGATTGAGAACCACTGTTCTAGACTAGAGAATATTCTCAGCCCAGGTGCCAGGTATGCTTGGATCACTAGGTATGCTAACGATCTTTTTTTTTTTTTTTTTCCCAAAGGAGAGATTTATTTAAACAACAACATGCTTGAGCCAGGCGCAGGTGCAGGCACAGCGACACACGCCTGTAATCCCAGCGATTTGGGAGGCTGAGACAGGAGGATCACAAGTTCAAAGCCAGCCTCAGAAATTTACCAAGGCTCTAAGCAACTCAACAAGACTGTCTCAAAACAAAACATGGAAAGGGCTGGGGATTTGGCTCAGTGGTTAAGCACCCCTGAGTTCAATCCCCAATAACCTCCCCCCCAAAAAAATCCAACAAGATGCTTGACTTGAAGGGAAGCTATCTAGGAATTTTTCCCTTATAAAGAGTAATTCACCCCTTCTTAAAGACAGATTGCCCTATGTGTAACAGGTACATACAAAAAAAAAGTTAGTCATAAAATTGTCCTTGGTTTTTTAATGATAAGGGAAAAATATTAAAATTCTCCAATTGAAGAAGGTATGCAAGGTTTTTTTATGTTGTTCAGGTTTTGTTGTTATTGTTGTTAAAATAATGACATCAAAATAACTTACTGGAATACAAAGATAAGAGCTGAATGAGCATGTTACTAATGGACAAAGGAACTATTTTCACAGAACCAGTATTTTTCCCCACCCCATCTCCATTTGATGTCAATCAAAACATCATTGGCCATTTAGGTTTTTTTTTTTCTTTTTTTAAGCAATATGCTGGGCATGGTGGCACCCACTTATAATCCCAGCAGCTCAGGAGGCTGAGGCAGGAGGATTGCAGTTTGAGGCCAGCCTCAGCAACTTAGCGAGGTCCTAAGCAATTTAGCGAGACCCTGTCTCAAAATAAAAAATAAAAAGAGCTGGGGATGTGGTTCAGTGGTTAAGTGTCCCTGAGTTCAATTCTTGGTACATACATATATATACATACACACACACTTGTGCACATACACCAGTTACTTTATAAAGGAATGGGGAGGGGGAAAATGAAAGGATAGAGAAAACTATATTGTAGTAGTCACGATGTGGTGGAACCAAATGACCATTTTCTGAGAATGTATTCTGGGTCTGTAAAAACAGAACACTGGAGTAAAGTAGCAGGTTCCCTTTTTAGTAGACCCTCCTATCTGCTTCTGGAACACACCAATTGTATCTTTTTAAAAAATATTTTTTTTAGATGTTGATGGACCTTTATTTTATTCATTTATTTCTATGTGGTGCTGAGGATCGAACCCAGTGCCTCACACATGCCAGGCAAGCGCTCTACCACTGAGCCCCAGCCCCAGCCCTCAATTGTATCTTGATTCTCCATTTCTAACTGTGCAGGTGGGCAGGGGTGTCTGTTTCATTAATTGGCTGCCCATCAAATCAGAATTTCATCTGCCTCATCGACAAACCGTGTCATTCACAGTCGGCTTTCATTACGTGATGTACACACTTTTTTTTGTACCGGGGATTGAACCTGGGGACACTCAACCCCTGAGCCCCATCCCCAGCCCTATTTTGTATTTTACTTAGAGACAGGGTCTCACTGAGTTGCTTAGGGCCTCACTAAGTTGCTGAAGCTGGCTTTGAACTCGCGATCCTCCTGCCTCAGCCTCCAGAGCTGCTGGGGTTTCAGGAGTGAACCACTATAGCCAGCCTAGTGTATGCCTGTAGGCCTTTTAATCTTAAACTGCACCACAGAACCATCCTGCCCGCCACCTTCAAGTTAACGTGATTGTTGTTCTCAGCCTTGACTCCTTCCTTGGGCTTTATCCAATGCTAAAGTCTCCTCAGCTACCCCTTCACAAAAGAGGTACCAAGTCTGACCCAAATGCTCCAGGATCAGCCTGAATCTAACAATCTTATCCAACATTGACTCTCCCTCCTCTACCAGTCCTCTTAATAATCTTAAAAGAGGATAAAGGTTAGCATTGCACTTGGTCCATCTTTCTTCCTGCCTTTCCAATATGCTGGGATCGTACACTGTACCATATTATGCCATATTATACTAGACTGAGACAGTCTACGAGCTCCACAGTCCTTTATGTTCCTTCATGATGACAACAGAGATTATGCCCTGCCCAAACCCCATTATGTCAGTTAGCTTCCTGCAGCTATTGTGCCTCTGGACTTGTATCACATTTTTAATCAGATTATGCAACATAACACTTAATATATGTTGGATTTTATGGTTTTCTGTTTGATCTTTATTCTAGTCACCAGTACTCTTTTGGTGACAAGTACCAGAAGCCTAAGTCATCCCGGCTTAAATGAAAAGCCAACATATTGGTTTATAGGAGAGACAAGTGCAGGCATACTGACTTCAGGTATGGTTGGATCCAGGTACTCAGATGATACCATCAGAAGACATCTTTGTGTCCTTCACTTAATACTGATTTCCTTTGTATAGGCTTCATTGGCAGGTTTTTTTCTACTTGGTAGTCAGAATGGCCATTTTAAAGTTATGGTAAGTTGAGGATATTTAATTCTGGCAGCACTTTGAAATCTCCACCGGCTAATTATGTTTCACATTATGCCCAGGGACCTCCTCGAATGACCACATTTTAAACATCATTTAAAATATCAGCCACGGGGCTGGGGATGAAGCTCAATGGTAGAGTGCTTGCCTCTCAGGCGTGAGGCCCTGGGTTCCATCCTCAGCACCACATAAAAACAAATAAATAAAAATAAAGATATTGTGTCCATATACAACTAGAAAAAACATTTTTAAAAAATAAATAAAATGTCAGCCATGTTTTATAGGAACTCAGCCCCATGAAGAGCAAAAACATAAAACCAACACATACCCTGGGAATAAAAAAGATGGGAACTAAAGATCTCACTCTGATCTTTTATTCATGCGAGATACCATGCCCCGTTACAAGGCCAAATGCCCTTCATGCGCTTATCAGACATTAACTCAGCACCTAGTACCTATCACGACCATGCTGGGGACTCAGATGAGCAAGACGCAGCCTCAGAGAATAGCAGATCGGACAGGCACAGGACAACCGCACTGCAACAGGTAAGGGCTACTGTGTCGTTGCGGGTTTGGCAGGTGCTGTGACATTTAAGGAAGGTTGTTTCAAAACCAGGCATGGTGGCTCACATCTGTAATCCCAGCTACTTGGGAGGCTGAAGCAAGAGGATTGCAAATTTGAGGCTAGCCTAGGCAATTTAGCGAGACCCTGTCTCCACCATAAAATCAAATAGAGTAGACAGAAATAAAAAAGGCTGGGGATGTAGCTCCGTGGTAGAGCACCCCTGGGTTCAATCCCCAGTACCACAAAAAGAAAAAAAAGATGGCATCACAAATTTTCTAAAGTCCTTTCCAGCTTGAATTTTCTGCTGTTTATTTCTCTCTCTGTGAAGTCTTCCTTCCATTGTAACAAGCGCATTTAGCTCTGTGGGGATGTGGGTGGACTCCAGCTAACCCACTTACAGATCACCTTAGGAGTTCTTTTTCTAACAGTAAAAAGCAGTTTCCAGGGCCACTGTTTCAAATTACCTCTCTGTGCTCCAGAGGAAAATCACTTGGAATGCAGAAGCCAATGGAAAGTGGTTGTGCTCAATGAGGACGTTAAAAGATTTCAGATATTCATTAACTTACTGGAAAGGGAAGGAGAAGGGCCTACTGTATAAGAAGAATTTCCTTTGAAGAATCCAAAATTGAAACAGCAAATCGATGCTAAAACAGGAAAGGGCTTTAATTTTATTTTGGTCTTCTATTGGGAACCCAAATGCAGTCTGAAAGTGTTGTATTGAGCCTTTGGTATAGTAACACATCACAATTGGAAGTGTCTGTTTTCTAATCCTGTGTATGTGGCTTTTCTGTTCTTAGGAGTCATTAGAAAGATGTTAGTCCAATAGAAAGCCCAGAAATTAGCCAGCTGCAGTGGCGCACACCTGTAATCCCAGTGACTCAGGAGGCTGAGGCAGGAGACTTGCAAGTTGGAAGCCAGCCTTAGCAATTTAGTGAGGCCCTAAGCATCTTAGTGAGACCCTGTCTCAAAATAAAAAGGACTGGGGATGGGGCTCAGTGGTTCAGCGTCCCAGGGTTCAATCCCCAGTACCCAGTCAAAAAAAGCTGTTAATCCTTTAGAGAGCAGGTCTGCGTAATAATGGCCACCGTTTATAGTACACTTAACATATGCCACTGTGTTTTCATCCTTTTTTAATGCTTATTCTATAACTGATAAGCAGGTAATATGATGAGACACATTTTACAACTGTGAAAAGAGGAACTCAGAGAAGTTGAGATAATTTGCCCAAAGTCTTGGCTATCAAGAGGCACAGAATCAAGAGTCAAATACAGAAGGTCGTGATAGCACAGCCCATGTGAAGAGAGAGGACAGATGAACAGAGAGAGGGACAGAGAGATGAACGATTTTTTTTTTTTTTTTGTACCAAGGATTGAACTCAGGGGCACTTAACCACTGGGCCACATCCTCAGCCCTATTTTGTATTTTATTTAGAGACAGGGTCTCACTGAGTTGCTTAGGGCCTCATAGTTGCTGAGGCTGGCTTTGAACTTGAGATCCTCCTGCCTCAGCCTCCCCAGCTACTGGGATTACAGGCAGGCACCACTGAGCCAGGCCAGATGGATGATATTGATGAGGAAGGAAGTCCATACTCTTAGCTCTTAAAGGGTTAACTAGAATCACAGACTTATTTAGAAGGGGCCTCAGGGAAGTAGACAGTTGGTTGCCAAGTTGAAACGTGGTTACTCTGCCTCCCAGGGCACAGAGCTGCCACAGAGAAGCCTCAGAGAAGCCCAGGGGTTGCCTCCGGCTTCTACCTCCCAGGGGATTTTCTAAGTCTCTTGAGGCAACCGATAGTTCATTTTCCCAAAGCTTTTGAATGAGAATCACCTGGGACAATTTTGAAAATTCAGAGTTGCATGTTGAAATAATTACATGTCCAGGGCTAGGGATGTGGCTCAGGCGGTAATGCGCTCTCCTGGCATGTGCGGGGCGCTGGGTTCGATCCTCAGCACCACATACAAATAGAATAAAGATGTTGTGTCCACCAAAAACTGAAAAATAAAAAATAAAATGATAAAGAGAGGCTGTAGATGGTGAACTTCCAACCAAGGACTGAGTTCATCAGTCTCCAACAAACCCTCATGAGGTATTTAAAAAAAAAAAAGAAAAGAAATAATTACATGTCCAAATGATAATATTTTGGATACACTGGATTAAATAAAATACATTACTAAAATTTATTTCACCTGTTTGTTTTTGCTTTTTTAAAAATGTGGCTGCTAGTATGGAGAGTCCTTAGAAAACTTGGAATGAAATCATCATTTGACCCAGTTATCCCACTCCTCAGCATATACCCAAAGGACTTAAAATCAGCACGCTACTGTGAAGTAGCCAATTTAATATTTATAGCAGCTCAATTCACAATAGACAAGCTTTGGAACCAACCTAAGTGCCCTTCAACAGATGAATGAATAACAAAAATGTGGTACATTTACACAATGGAATATTACTCAGCTGTAACTAAGAATGAAATTCTGGCATCTGCTGGTGAATGGGTGGAACTGGAGACTATCATGCTAAGTAAAATCAGCCAATCCCAAAAAACCAAAGGCCAAATGTTCTGTCTGATATGTGGATGCTAACACACAATAAGGAGTGGGGAGGAAAGAATAGAAGTTCATTGGATTAGACAAAGGGGAATGAAGGGAAGAGGGGGATGGGAATAGGAGAGACAGTGGAGTGAATGGGACACAACTTTCCTATGTAAATGAATACACGACCAGTGAAACTGCACATCATGTACAACCACAAGAATGGGATCCTAATTAGAATAAGTTATACTCCATGTATGTTTAATATGTTAAAATATACTCTATTGTCATGTGTAATTTAAAAAAATAAATAGAAATTTTTAAAAAGCTGGGCATGGTGGTGCACACCTATAATCCCAGTGGCTCGGGAGGCTGAGGCAGGAGGATCATGAGTTCAAAGCCAGCCTCATAATTTAGTGAGGCCTTTAACAACTCAATTAGACCCTCGCTTGGGATGTGGCTCAGTGGTTGAGTGCTCCTGGGTTTGATCCCCAGTACCAAAACAACAACAACAACAAAACAAAACAAAAAATGTTTAAATGTGGCTGCTAGAAAATTGAAAACTAATGTATGACTCACATTATATTTGACTGGACAGAGGTGCTCTTAAGAGTGTATGCCAAACTAGGTCCTTTTTGAAGGGATTAGGTGTCATTGGGTGTTCTAGTTCAAATCTAGAATGTCCCCTGAAAACGGATATTGAAGCCTTGGTTTCCAACGCAACAATATTGAGAGGTGGGGATTAGGGGAGCGATTAGATCATGAGGACTCCGATCTTTTCAGTGGGTCAATCCACAGATGGGTTCATAATCAATGGTCTATTAGGAAGTGGTGAAAACCACAGGAGGTGGGGCCTAGGTTGAAGAAGGAGGATACCCAGGGTGTGTCCTGGAAGGGCGTATCTTGTCCCTAACCCCTTTCTCCCTCTTTCTCAGCTTGTCTCTATCAAGCCCTTTCTCCACAATGTTTCTGCCTCATCACAGGCCTAAATGGGATGGGTTAGGAGATTGAAACCTCTGAAACTGTGAGCCAGAATAAATCTTTCCTCCTCTAAGTTGTTTTTCTCAGGCATTTTGTCATAGCAATGAAAGCTGACTAACATACCGCACTGGGGTAGGCAGGGACTGGAAATTGGACAGGGGTTCCTTGGGGTCGCCTGCTCTTCCCTACCCTTTTCTCCTCCTTCCCTCTTTAAAGCAAAGAGGGCAACTTATTCTCAGGTGCTTCATAGAACCTGAGGACAGGATATAGTAGGAAAGGGGTTGGGGTTAGAATATTCTCAGTTCCTTGTTTTTTTTAATATTTACTTTTTAGTTTTTAGGTGGACACGATATCTTTATTTTATTTATTTTGGGGGGGTATCAGGGATTGAACTCAGGGGCATTCAACCACTGAGCCCCATCACCACCCTATTTATTTAGAGACAGAGTTCACTGAGTTGCTTAGGGCCTCACTTTTGCTGAGGCTGGCTTTGAATCCACCATCCTCCTGCTTTAGCCTCCCGAGCTGCTGAGGTTACAAACGTGTGCCACCTCGCCGGGCTATCTTTATTTTATTTTTATGTGGTGCTGAGGATCGAACTCAGTGCCTCATGTGTGCTAGGCGAGCGCTCTACCGCTGAGCCACATCCCCAGCCCCTCGGTTCCTTGCTTCTATCTCTTTTTCTCTCTTTGTATCTGTTCCATTTTCTTTCTCACGACAAACCCACCATTCTTGTTTCTCTGTTTCCTAGTCACATAGAAAATAGCCCTTCATCAAGGACTCCCAGTTTAGCTTTCTTTAGTTAGACAGAACAGCGAAGGACTGGGGGTATAGCTCAGTGGTAGAGCACTTGCCTGGCATGCATGAGGCCCTGGGTTCCATCCCCAGCACTAAAAAAAAAAAAAAGAACAGCTACATTGAGTTTAAATTTTAAGAGCCAAAATTTCTAGAGAAAATTGGTGATTGGCACAGCTTGCTTCTAGTCCCTTTCCAGGACTAATCAACTGTCCAGCATGTGTGGCCTGCTGTAGTAAGAAGTTCTTAGGGTAATGACCTCATTAGCAAAGTGGGAGGGACAGGAGTGATTCCCAGAAAGATCAGGGAGGGGGAGGGAATAGGAGTCCACTAAACACATAAGTGCATGATTGGCACCCACTCAGTGCCAGGCTTTTTGGCACTTGTATCTGCACATGACGTTGGCTGTAGCAACCAACACAGGTTGAGGCAAAGAAGCCAAAGAAGCTCTTTCAGTATGCTGGGGCTGTGTTGTCACAGACCTAATTGTGTCTTCTCCTTTCCACAATTCCTATGTTGAAGCCCTAACCATCAATGTGAGGTGTGTCTGGAGATAGGACCTTGAAGGACGCAATATGGTTAAATGAGGTCATAAGAGCGGGACATGATGGCGTAGGATTGGTGTACTTACACCAAGGAGAAAAGATGCCCCACCTTACCATATACACAGAAGAAAGGCCACATGAGAATACAGAAAGAGAGTGGCTGTCTGCAAGAAAGCCCTCACCAGACACCAATTTTGATGGCACCTTGATCTTGGACTTGTAGCCCCCACAACCACGAGAAAATCAACTTCTGTTGCTTAAGTCACTCAACCTCTGGTTTTTGTTACTGCAGCTGAGCAGACTAATATAGTCTTGTTATTAAATTCTAACTCTCTGCCTGGATTCCATTAAGCTCTGGTATGCTTTCACTGAAATTGGTAAAGGCTTCGTAAGAGGCACTTGGAGAAAAAACACAGAGGATCCTTAGGACTTAGAGATAAGCAAAGAGTTCTTAGACTTAACACCAAAAGCATGAGCTATAAGAGGAAAATTCATAAATTGTATCATCAAAATTAAGAACTTCTGCATAGTAAAAGCCCCAGTGAAGACAATTAAAAAAACAAACTAGGGACCAGGAGAAGATATTTACAAACCACATATTTGACAAAGGACCACCATCTAGAATACATATTTTTTAATTTTTTTAGTACTGGGGATTGAACCCAGAAGCATTTAACCACTGAGCCCCATCCCCAGCCCTTTTTACATTTTATTTAGAGACAGGGTTCCACTAAGTTGCATATGATCTAGGTATGTTTCTGAGGCTGGCTTTGAACTTGCGATCCTCCTGCCTCAACCTCCCATGCCTTTAGGATTACAGGCGTGTGCTAGCATGCCTGGCAGAATATATTTTTAAAAAGTTCTCAAAACCTAGCAAAAAAGTACAAACATTCCAATGAAACATACGCAAGAGACACTTCTGTACTGAATAGACACTTCACCAAAGTTGACATCCAGATGGCCAACAGACACATGCAAAGATGTTGTACACTATTAGCTATTAGAGAAATACAAATTAAGACCCCAATGATGTATCATTCTCCATGTACCTGAAATGGCTACAAATTAAAAATAGTGAAAACTCCATATGCTGGTGAGGATGAAGAGAAACTCATACACTGCAGGTGGAAATGTAAAAGGCTACAGCAACCCTGGAAAACAATCTGTGGGTTTCTTGGGGCTGAGGCTGTATGTAGCTCAGTGGTAGAGTGCTTGCCTAGCATGTCTGAGGCACTAGGTTCGATTCTCAGCACCACATAAAAATAAATAAAATAAAGATCCATCAATAACTAAAAAAAAAAAAAGAATTAACAAAATATTTGTTGGCTTCCCAAAAAATAAACATGTGGGCTAGGGGTATGGCTCTGTAGTAGAGCATGCGCTTATTAGCATGCATGAGGCCCTGGGAGGTTCATTCCTCAGCATCAAAATATTTAAAAAGAAAGAAAAAAGAAACCCAGCAATTACTCTCCTGAGTGTTTTTCTCAGAGGAAAGAAGATTCGTACCCACACGAAAACCTGTACCCAAATGTTCATAGCTCAAGTGATCCTAGTATTTATAATAAGCTAAAACTGGAATGGGCCCAGCTGTTCCTCAACAGATGAATGGTTAAGCAACCTGGTATTCCATACCATGGAATTCCATAACACGTAGTCTTCTATTACTACTACACAGCAGAAAGAAAGGAACTCTTTATACATTTGTGACATGGATCAACTTCTGTGTATGTATGATCTCATTTATGTAACAATCTTGAAATGGCAGCTGAAATGCACAAGTTAGTGGTGGGGTTGGGGACAGGGGTGAGAGAGAGGTGGGTGTGATTTAAAGGGCAACAGGAGGGGGTTTGTTGTGATGAGACTGTTGTGTACTTGAATATGATGATGGATATGCGAGCTACACAGGGATAAAATTGTGTAGAACTAAAAACACACACAAACACACTTATAACTAGTAACAGTAAAAGGAGGAGAATCTGAATAAGTTGGGTGGATTATATCAATGTCAAGATCCTAGTTGTGAGATTACAATATAGTTCTCTAAAATGTTACCATTACTCGGGTGCAGTGGTGCCTGCCTGAAATCCCAGCGGCTTGGGAGGCTGAGGCAGGAGGATCAGGAGTTCAAAGCCAGTCTCAGCAATGGTGAGGCCTAAGCAACTCAGTGAGATCCTGTCTCTAAATCAAATACAAAATAGGGCTGGGGATGGGGCTCGTGATAGAGTGCTCACGTAGCATGCAGAAGGCACTGGGTTCTGTCCTCAGCACCACATAAATGTAAAATGAAGATATTGTGTCCACCTACAACTAAGAAATAAACATTTTTTTAAAAATGTTACCATTGTGGAGAACTGGGTAGTGTGTGAGGTCCTGGCTTTTTTTTCCTTTTGTCCTTTTCTTTCTTTCTTCCTTCTTCTTCTTCTTTTTTTTTTTTTTTTTTGTATGTTTTTAGAAGATGGGGTCTTAGAGGGGTGTGGCAGTACCAGCCTGTAATCCCAGTGGTTTGGGAGGCTGAGGCAGGAGGATTGCAAGTTGGAGGCCACCTTAATGAGGCCCTAAGCAACTTAAGGAGATCCTGTCTCAAAATAAAAATAAAAAGGCCTGGGGATGTGATTCAGTGTTTAAGTATCCCTAGGTTCAATTCCCAGTACCAAAAATAGAGTACCATATAGCTGGGACTCCAGGTGCATGGTGGTTCTCTATATTATTTGTTATAACTTCATGCAAATCCACAATCACCTCTATAAAAACATCAATTAAAAATGTCTTCTTATAGCCAAGTTATGGAAACAGAAAGCCTTGATGCCTGTCAACAGGTGAATGGATAAAGAAATTGTGGTCTACACACACAATGAAGTTTTATTCAGCCACAAGAAAGAGCAAAATTGTGTCATTTGCAGGAAAATGGGTGGAAGTGAAGAATGTCATGCTAAGTAAGCGGGACCCAGAAAGATAGGTGCTGAGTGTCTTCTCTCATAGGTGGAGACTACAGAGAAAAGGGGGGGATCCATAAAAGATAGAAGGGAACTGATGAAGGAAGGGACAGAAGAGGATCAGAGGGAGGGGGGGATCCCAAGAGGAGATACTGGGGAGTGAAATTGGTCACATTGTGTTATGCGCAGGCTCGAATGTGTCACAATGAAACTCACTGTTCTGTGAAATTAATATGCACAAATTAAAAAAAAAAAGAATAATGTATTCCTTACTGTAGAACAAAGCAAAGGGTTTGAAAGCTGTTCAAGTGGTCTCTAAGGAACTCAAAAGTCCCATTCCCCACACCAAATGTTCTCGGTTCTTCCCCTGCGATTCTTTGCTACTGATCATCCCATTGTTTGCTCCCTGTTTGGAGACCGTCTCCCTGACCACGCCGAGCTACTCAAAGTAGGGTCGTGATTTATTGTCTGAAGCCCGAGTGCCAGCTCCACACAGGCTTCAATATGCTTTGCCTGAATTCAATTATCCAGGTCTACGTGCGACGTGGAGTTTGGCATCTGATAAATCTCCAAGAAATTCCCTTGGCCTGAGCGGCTCGGGGTCTCAGGCGTGGATCATCTTTGTGCTTTGTGTCTCGGCAGAGGCGGGGAGGGCCCCGGTCTCAGCAGCATTCTTCTGCAGGGAGGAAGGTAATGACAGGAAGGTGGGGGTGGGGGATCTGTGACTTGTCCCTCTTCCATTGGGAGATGCCGTGAGTCATTAGCTGACCATCAATCTCATCACAGCTTTAGACGCTGGGGAGGAAAAAAGAAAAAAAAGGAATCGGCTCGTCCGTTTGGTTTCAGAAATGTGAAAATTTGAGGTCATTGTGCCCCTTTGACTCGAGGAAGGGTTGGGAATGAAAGAACAGGGACATGGCAGTCTGAAAAGCTGCCTTTTTGTCTTGGGAGACGCTGACGGGTTTCCTGAATTGGACACTGGATTGCAAAAAAAAAAAAAAGAAAAGAAAGAAAGAAAAGAAAAGAAATTTCCCCAAGCGTGGGAGGTAATTACTGGAGAAAGGCGCATGTCTGAAGCGAGCGAGTTACACCACACCAACGAGAAAAATCTGGAGTATTTTCTTAGCTAATATCACCCTGGAAAACCAAGGGTGGGAGGATTGTCGTCCCTGCCGGCTGATGCCGCTGACAGCATGCTGTTTGGACAGCATCCCGGGCGCTGCTGGCAGAGGCCGAATTTCTGTCGCAGACAAAAACAAGGGGGGAAGGGGCGGAGATTCCGCCCGAGCCCGGAAAATGGAAATGTCTCTTTAAAGGCTAGAGCGTTCACTCTCATTGTCTTTTCCAAATTCGGGCCTCCTTAGGGACTTTGTTCAAGGCCTCGGGATACTTCTCGTGGCTGGTTAGGATCCAAATAAAATGGCCTCCTTCTAAGGGATCTTTGGTATTTGCTCCCCGAATGGGCCTCTGGCCCCTTAAAAAAAAATTCACCTCCCGGGCCAGTCCCAGATGCTTGACATTCCTCTTTGGCAAAAGGAATTCTCCTTTGGAGCCTGCACTTTTAAATGCAAATCACCTGGGGGTGGGGAGGGCTGGGGTGCACTGTACTTGGTTTGCTCGGGGTGAGCAGTGACTTCTTGCACGAATCTAACACAAAATGAAAACTGTCTCCTTGCAGGCCTTCCTTCCTTGTACTGGGGACCGTGAGCACCGTACTCCGTGGTTGGAGAATAATTGCACTTGGTGCCACGTTTCCGGGTATTTGCAAGGGGATTGAAAAATGCAATGATTTTAAGGTGCAACGATTTCAAGGTGAAGTTCAATTTTTGCATCTACCGTCTCAGCTGCCGAACTAGGTACCAGGGATACAAAGAGAAGGTTCCCCTGGACTAAGGTGCAGGGCATCCGAGGCGCCCAGGGCGACTCTAGTGTAAATAGGGAGTGCCAGGAGAGAATCCTGCAGAGCTGCGCCAGGTCATGGGGGCTGGGGAAGGGAGTCTGGGTAGGCTTCATGGAAGAGGTGACCTGTAAGCTGAGGCCCTGAAAGAGAAGTGAGCCAGCCCTGGGGGAACAGGATGGGGGAGCCTCCGGGAGCAGGAACTGGGTTAACAAAGACCCAGGGTGGGGGTGGGGGTGCCATGCTCGTGGCGGCCATGGCCCTGCCTGTGTTCTTCACGTCTGTCTCCCTTCCAGAAAGGCTGCCTCGGGAGGGTAGCTGGCTGACAGTTTCCAGATCCCTCACTTTCAGGCTCCACCATTGCATATTTATTACATATTTTTTCTGGGTCTGTTCTCAACCAATGACAGAGCACAGCATTTGCACCGGAGCTGAACCGTTTTTCTTTCGGATGTGGAATTCCCTAATGCATCATGTTTCCCCGGGAGGACTCCGTGGGCCTCATCAGGACTTTTCGCAGAGCCCCGCGCTCCGATCCAGGGCCCCTCCCCTTCCATTCTTCCTTCATTCTTCTTCCCCTTCCACAGGCGTCCGAATGCGCCTGGCCTGCCCCCTCGGCCCCGAATCCATCGGAGGCATTTCCCTGCATATAAATTTCACATGCATTTAATTCTGCTTTGGCCTCTGCTTTTTAGAAGCTCGGAACTAACGCGGTGTTCCAGGGATGGCGGGTAGTTTAGTGTGGCTGGAGGGTAAGAAGAAGGGAGGGGCAGGAAGAGGAGTCGGCAGGGAGTCTGGGGCTCCACCGGAAGGGTCTTGTAAACTAAGCTCCGAAGAATGGACTTTCTCATAAGCAGTAAGAAGCTGCTGTAGGTTTAAGTTGCAGGAAAAAAAAAAAAAAAGGACCATATTTGTATTTTGCACAGATCTTCCTGGCAATTGTAAGGGGGATGGTATAGAGAGGCGCAGTGCTGGAGAGGTGAACGCTTAGAAAACTCTGGAACGCTTCAGACTGAAACCGTGGATTGCCTCACCTGAAGAGGTACCAGTGTGTTGCAGACAGGAAATGGATGGAGGCGATACAATGGCAGGAACTGGTTATTAATTGGTTGTGAAACACAAAGGGAGGGTGCACAAAGGGAACTGAATTGCTAGCATTCTCTAAAAAAGATGGGGTAACAGTTATCCCACTCCTGAGTGTAGACCCCAAGGACTTAAAAACAGCTTACTACAGGGACGCAGCCACATCAATGTTTATAGCAGCACAATTCACAATAGCCAAACTGTGCAGCCAGCCTAGATGTCCTTCAGTAGATGAATGGATAAAAAAATATGACATATATACACAATGGAATATTACTCAGCATTCAAAGAGAATAAAATTAGGCATTTGCAGGTAAATGGCTGCAGTTGGAGAATATCATGCTAAGCAAAATAAGCCAATCCCCCAAAAGCAGAGGCCAAATGTTTTCTCTGATATGTGGATGCTAACTCACAATAAGAGGGGGGGCTAGGGAAGAGTAGAGGTACTTTGGATTTGGCAGAGAGGAGGGAAGGGAGGCAAGGAGGTACAGGGGTAAGAAGAATAGTAGAATAAGTTGCTTCTGCTGCCATGATGTCTTGTGCTGCCTCAGACCCAAAGCAACAGGGCCAGGTGACCATGATCTGAAACTGTGAGCCAAAATCAACTTTTCCTCTTTTTCAGTTGATTATCTCGGGTATCTTTATCATAATAACATAAAGCCAACTGACTTGATTGGAGGCACTTTCTAGAACGCAATAGGAGCAATCCAAGTAGGGCGCAGAGACTTGCTTAGTTGAGGAGGTGGAGACTCAGCAAAGCTGGGATGGCTGAAATTTGGCAGGAAGACTACCAGAAAGAGAACAAGAATTTCACATAGAGTGCCGTCTGGCGGGCTAGCAAGCACAGGCGACATACACAGGGTAAGAGTTCACAGCCTGAGAGAAAATAACCATCCCAGAAAGAACTGCCACTAACAGAGCAACTCCCAGGCTCTTCTTAGGACTGGGAAATGTTAGGGTTTTGACCACTCAGTGGAGAAATGCCTGGGGTGTGCAGAGGGGCCCCAGGAGGGTTAATCTCTAGTAATAGGTCTAGACTAGCCCAAGATGAAAGGCCATTCGAGACCTGCCCTGACAAGGCTGCAAAACAAACCTTGAAAGGATCAGCCTGAACTAGAGGTAATTAAACTGCCTGTCAAAGAAAGACTCAGGCCAGGCGTGGTGGTACATGCCTAATCCCACTGACTTGGGAGGCTGAGGTGGGAGGATAACAAGCTTGAGGCCAGCCTTAGCGATTTACAAAACCCTGTCTCAAATAAAAAAATAAAAAAGGCTGGTAAAGTAGCACAGTGTAAGATACCCCTGGGTGCAAGCCCAGGACACCCCCCTACACACACACCAGATGATAAAAAAAGAGAGACTCAGCACTCTTTAAAGAAAAGGATAAAATCCAGACCTCAACAATTTGATATTCGTGATGTTCAGCATCCAATAAAAATTACTAAACTTCTGAGAGGCATAAAAACGTGACCTATTCCAGGATTAACAAAAAAAAAAAAAAAATAGCCAATAGAAGCAGACTCAAAGGTTACAGAGGTGAAGGAAATAGCAGACAAGGACCTTAAACAGCCATAATGAGTATGTCAAAGTACACAGAGGAAAACACAAACATGAAGAGGAAAAAATGGAAGCCTTTAAAAAGGACCCAATGTTATTCCACTCATGAGACTCGTCTAGAACACATCAATTCATAAGGACAGAAAGTAGAATGGTGGCAGCCAGGGGCTGGGGAGAGGCTGAAAGGGGGAGCTGTTGTGTAACAGGTACACAGTTGCAATTTGGAAAGATAAAAAATGTTCTGGAAATGGATTGTGGTGATGGCTGCACAACAATGTGAAATTACATTTAAAAATGAAAAAAAAAATGTGAATGTTATATATGTTTTCCCACAATTTGAATAAAAAGAACCACATGGAACTTCTGGAGATGAAAAAGGCAATCCCTGAAATGAAATATTTACCAGGGACTTAGTAATAGGTTAGATTCTTTTTTAAAAAAATATTTTTTAGTTGTTGATGGATCTTTATCTTATTTATTTTTATGTGGTGCTGAGGATCGAACCCAGTACCTCACGCATGCTAGGCAAGCACTCTACCACTGAGCCACAACCCCAGCCCTAATAGGTTAGATTCTAGAGAAGAAAAATACATTAGTCAACTTTCTATTACTGTGACAAAACATGAGGAAAACAACTTTCAGGAGGAAAGGTTTATTTGGGCTCACGGTTTTAGAGGTCTCAGTCCACAGTCGGCTAGCTCCACTGGTTTTGGGCTGGTGTGAGGCAGAACATCATGGCAGGGCGTGGGGGGCAGAGGAGAGGCTCACTTCCTGGTGGCCAGTAAGAAAAGAAAGAGAAAGGAAAAGAAAAGAGCCAGGGTGCCCACATCCCCTTCAAAGGTGCAGCCTCAATGGTTTACTTCCTCCAGCTAGGCCCCGCCCACTGAAGTTTCCACCACCTTCCAAGAGTGCCATCAGCCTGGAACCAAGCCTTCAACACAGGAGCTTTGGGGGACATTTAGTATCCAGTCAGGCAAGGTGGCACACTCCTGTAATCCCAGGGGCTCAGAAGGCTGAGGTAGGAGGATCATGAGCCTCAGCAACTCAGCGAGGCTCTATCTCTAAATAAAATATAAAAAAGGGCTAGAGATGTGGCTCAGTAGGTAAGCACCCCTGGGTTCAATCTCCAGTACACAACACACACACACACACACACACACACACACACACACAGGTCAAAATTTAAAAACTGGATGAAAACTATAAACCTATACATGTAAGAAGCTCAGTGGACCCAAGTAAAATAAATCTTAAGGAAATCACACCAAATAAAATTCTAATCCAATTCCAATAAAACAATGAGAAACTATGAAAGAGAAAAGAGATCGCAGAGGAAGCCCCCAATTAAAAAGAAAAATTAGAAAGACACCACAGACTTCTTATCAGAAAGTGTGCAAACCAGAAAAATACGGAATGGCATCAGTTAAACACAGAGGGAAAAAAAAGTCAGTCTAGAATTCTACACACAAAGAAAATACAGCTACAACATGAAGGTGAAACAGACTGTTCCAAACAAAGAGCCGAGAGAATGTGCAGCCAGCAGATAGCAGCCACAGAGAGGTCAAAGGAATTTCTTCCTGCTGAGGAAAATGATACCAGATGGGAATTTAAATCAATATCAACGAATAAACAGCACAGCAGTGGTAAATATGTGATAATACAAAACACTTTCATCCTCACTTTTTAGTTTACTGAAAAGATATGGACTATTTAAAGCAAAAATAATAGGCATATTTTGTGAGATTTATAACTCATGGAGAAGTAAAACAGAAGCTAACAATATCGCAAAGGATGGGAGAAGAAAATAAAACATTTTAAAAGGATCGTACATTATACATGAAGTGGTACAACATCAGGTGAAGGTACACTGTGATAAGTTAAAGGTGCGTGTTGTAGCCCATAATAACCACTAAAAAATAAGAGATATAGCTAATAAGATAGTAGAGGGGGAAAATGGAATACTAAAATATACTCAAAATATTGTGTGAAACTGCATGGCTTACACGGCTAGCAAGGTGGGCAGAGGTGGCTGGCTGTGGCTGAGGCTATAGCAACCCACCATGTGACAGGGCCAAGGAGGTCTCTGAAGTCTGTAGCAGCCACGCCCCTCCCCACCAAAAAAAAAAAGGCACGAAAAGAAGAAAAGTCTGGATGCGGTGGCACACACCTGTAATCCCAGCACCTTGGGAGGCTGAGGCAGGAGGATCACAAGTTTGAGACCAGCTTCAGCAATTTAGAGAGTTCCTAAGCAACTTAGCAAGACCCTGTCTCTAAATAAAACTTAAAAAGGGCTGGGGATGTGTGGCTCAATGTTTAAGTGTCCCTGGGTTTAATCCCCAGTACCAAAAGAAAAGAAAATACATATAGTTTATGATATAGCTTATGTAATCACTAACCTCAAAATTATTATAGTGACCATATCATTAGTAGTGTATTTTAGAATTTTACCAGAGAGAGGAAAATATTTTGTGATAGTGAAGGGATCAATTCATCAGAAAGAAATATCATTCTTATATATATATGGACTCAACAAGAGTTTTAATATGCATAAAATAAAAACTAATGGAACTAAAAGAAGAAATTGACAAATCCATCATTGTTTGTACATATCATTACTTTTTCCTCAGTAATTAATACAACAAGTAGATGGAAATTCAGTAAGGATCAAGAAGATTTGTAACATGGACACAAAAAACTAACCAAATTTACATTTATAGAACATTCCACCCAACAACAGAAAAATACAGAATCTTCTATAGACCATGTATATGTCCATGGAAATGCAAAATGATTGAGATCATAGAAGATATTATATCTGACCACAGTAGAATTAACTTTGATAGCAACAACCAAACAAATCTGAAAAACCTCCAAATATTTGGAAATTAAAGATAAATTAGCCTAGGGGCTGGGGATATGGCTCAGTTGGTAGAGTGCTTGCCTTGTATGCACAAGGCTCTGGGTTCAATCCCCAGCACCACAAAAAAAAAAAAAATGCTATATAGATATACAGAAACATCCCTCATGGCCTTGGACTTGGAAATACTTAGCAAAATCAATCTAACTACACACAAAGAGGATAACACAACTGGGGTTATTCCAAGAGTGCAAGGTTGGTTTAATATTTGAAAATCAATCTATGTAGTTCACCACATTAACAGGCTAAAACACGCACACACACACCCCACAGAGAATTCTTTCTTTCTTTTCTTTTTTTTCCTTCTTTTTTTGGTACGGGGATTGAACGCAGGGGCACTCAACCACTGAGCTACACTTCCAGCCCTTTTTTATTATTTATTTTGAGACAGGGCCTTGCTAAGTTACTGAGGCTGGCTTTGAACTTGCCATCCTCCCACTTCAGCCTCCTGAGTGATTGGGACAATCATTTCAATACAAGCAGAAAAAGCATTTGACACAATTCAACAGCCATTCATGACAGAAACTCTCAACAAATCTGGAATAGATAGGAACTTCTTGGGCCAGGTAAAGGGGATCTAAAAAGCCTGAAACTAACATGTTTAATAGTCAAAGACTGAATTCTTTTCTTCTGATTTGAGGATCAAGAAAATGATTTCTGTTCTCAGCACTTCTATTCAACATTATACTCAAAGGTTCCAGGCTGAGCACCGTGTGTCCCAGGCATGTAATCCCAACAGCTCAGGAGGCTGAGGCAGGAGGATCGCAAGTTCAAAGCCAGCCTCAGCAATTTAGCAAGGCCCTAAGCAACTCAGTGAGACCCTATCTCTAAAATATTTAAAAGGGCTGGAATGTGGCTTAGTGGTTAAGTGCCTCAGGGTTCAATCCCTGGTACTAAAAAAAAAAAAAGTTTGTTACCCCAGGGATTAACCTGGGGTGCTTTCCCATTAAGCTATATCCTTTTTATTTTTATTTCAAGACAGGGTCTTGCTAAATTGCTGAGGCTGGCCTTGAATTTGTGATCCTCCTGCCTCAGCTTCCTGAGTCATTGGGATTACAGGTGTGTACCACCATCCCTGGCTCCAAAACTGCCTTGATTTGCAGACAGTGTAATTGTACACATAGAAAATAAAAAGGAACAAGATCTAATAAGTGAGTTTAGCAAGGTCACAGGATTCAAAGTCTACATACCAAAATCAGTTGCAGTTACTAGCAGTTATGTTAGCAAAAGACCAGTAGAAGGGGCTAGGGTTGTGGCTCAGTGGTAGAGCGCTCTCCTAGCATGTGTGAGGCACTGGATTCGATCCTTAGCACCACATAGAAATAAAATAAAGATTAAAAAAAAAAAACAGTGGAAAATGAAATTTTAAAACACCATATCTTTTACGATAGCATCTAAAACCTGAAATGCTTGAGGATAAGTTTGACAAATATGCACAAGACCCGTGAGCCAAAAACTGAAAACAAACCGAGTCTAAAATTTATTTCAAAATGGTAGGCATAGTTATGAATTCCTTGCCATTTCCAGATACTTTGCTAGAACTTATATTTTTATACTACCTACTGTTTGCCATGCACATTCTTCTTAATGTTTCACACATACTATCTCATTTAATCCTCAAAAAACCCTTTAAGAAGGTACTACTAGTATCCCTACCTTCACAGGTGAGGAGAAAGAAGTACAGAAGGTAACTTGCCCTTCATCACACAGCTAGTATAGGGTATGTTATGATTTCAAAACCTGGGGATTTGGTTCTAGAGACCACACTTTGAAGGCTTTTTTAAAGTGAATCTCAGATCCACCAACAGACCTATGCACATGTAAGTATGTAGCAAAACCTTTGCAAAACTTTGCTACTTGCCTTACCCTTTGATAGTTGCCATTCTATTCAAATCTCTTTATTTCTTTTTTTAAGTTGAGGTGCCACCTGTTAAGTTGATTTCACAAGCCCTTAATGGATGGAAAACACTGTTACAGTCTCCAAAGTGCTGGGCACCGGAAGGGTATTAGTAAGATGTTTTCTTTGGAATGTTCTCTTCTCCTCCTTCACTCAAACATCAAGGGCTTTTGTTTGGAGAGTAAAGTATAATATCTGATAATCTTTTGGCAACGCATTTTCTGCAGAGTGCTGGCATGTGACTTTGGGTAGGGAATGTTTTTTTTTTATTATTTTTTCTCAACAGTGGAGGTTTTATATGTCAAATGGAGAAATTTATTGAGTCTTTCTTAGGCATCGTTACCCAGAGGCAGCTGCTACTTCTTTTCCCTTTGCACTTCTATAGATGGAACCCCAACCTCGCATCTACTAGCAAGGGCTCAGTCACCGATCTGCACCCCCAGCCCATATTTTACTTTTTCTTTTTGGAGTAGGGGTTGAGTTAGAGGGACAGGTCTAGTGATCTGAACTTGGAGTTCTGAAATCTACAGGAAACCTAGGCTGAGGGCTGGGGAGGTAGCCTGGTGGTAGAGAACTTGCAAACCTGGCTGGGTGGCCTCATGACCCTCCAAAGTCTCAGAAGGCCATCACAGTGGTGACCAGTTCCATCTCTGAAGAGAGAACAGGGCTGCAGGGGCAGAGGGAATCAAGCTGTCACGTGGAAGATTTAAGTTATGGTTATGGAAAGATTTCTTGGTCCTAAGCCAAGACAAAATGACAGAGGATTACTTATGAAAAGTCTCTAAGTTACTAAGAACAACCTTTAGTTCCAGGAAATCCTGGAGGGCAGAGGACCAAGATGTCTGGGGAATGAAGTGCTGTTTGCCTAAAGAGGCAGGGGAATGGACAAGGTCACTCTGTCATTGTATAGTTAAATTCTAGCTTTTACACGTGGATTGACAGTCTATGGAATAAGCTCTAGAATCATTCC